GGTCTTTTTACCAGACACCCAAATGTAACATCCATTTTATGCATGCGCAAACACCCTACCCAGTGGCAGCCGTTTTGTGGCATGCTTTTTAAATTCTAAATGTGCCTAATGGCCTGAGTTTGCTTGTCCTTGTCGTACAGAATGAACAAATATCCTGTTCCTATATTGTCTCCGTTTTATTGTGTTACATTTGCTCTGTACTGAGATAACAAACAAACAAACAAATATTTCATTACATTTGAGTATATGTTTTCACACAGTAACAGTTATAAAGAAGCCTTAGGCTACAAGATAATCATGTCTAGGAAGAGAAAAATGCCTAAGGCATCTTATAAGAGCAGAATACAATATTGGGTTAGAAGATACATTGGGCAACTGAGATGCACATTAAAATGATCAGACATTGTGAAGCACAAAATTCTGTTTAATACAATGTTAGTACAAACTAAATCCATTAATATTTTAGAAAGATTACAAGAAGAAGACACTATTTAGCAATGGTTAATGCCTCTCCTTGACATACAATCAATACATAGATTCAGGTGTCTGGACAAGAGCATTCAGTGTGGTTCAACAGTCCATAGAATAGACCGACATCTAAACAAAGATGTCAACTTAATTTTAATTTTTTCTTTGTGGTTTTAAATGAATGCCAACTTCAATACTGTGCAATTACTATTTTCAACTACAAGAATTCAGCTGCTGGCTTTGTTTGGTATTGCACCCTCACACACTAAACTCCATTTATTTTTAAACACAGAGAAGCAAGTGAAGATGCCTCAGCATTCTCTTAGCCAATACTGAAAATTTATAGGGATGAGTATAGTGTATGTTTCAGTGTGTTGTGTGAATTCAGGCAGTTGGGTTAATTAAATAAACCATAGCTGAGAAAATAATCTGTTAAGTATATTGTGCAGTATATCAGTCATTTTGCTGCAATTTGTTTCCATGTACATTTAACAGGGGGGAATACATATGACTGATGCCTGTTAATTATAGTGACCTTAATGAAAGAAAGAATAATTCTATGTGTTGGAGAAAGGGTCATCCACCAAAGAATTCAAAAAGGTCTACAACCACACAATCAAAGTCCCTTCCCTGTTCAATGGGTATCACAACCCACATTAAAAAGGAGCAGAGCTTCAATCTCACTAACACCCCTGATTGGTGAAAAAAAGATAATGACCTGGTTTGCAGAACATGCTCAGCAAGTTGTCAAGAATCAAAGTTTGGTTAAAGAAGAAGGTAGTCCCATATTTCTTTTTAAGTTCACTTCTTTTTCATTCTTGTGTTTTGTCTTCTTTTAGGACTGATATTACATAATGATTTTTATTGCAATTATTTTTATTGAAGACTGTTTTTTTGTTCTTTTCATTCACTCTCTGGGCTTCATCAGGAGGAAGAGCAATATGAAAATGGCATTAGTAATAAATATTGTATCTATGGTTTGTTGTAAAGGTCAAGTCTTTCTACAGTAAAGTAAAATTAGTTCATCTGGGCGTGTTTCTTGTCTGGACCACCTCACAAGCCTGACATCAATCTTGCAAGATTACATTAACAGAATCTTGCAAGTCTGAAAGTACGTTTCTTCCCCATCGCCTTTACAGCCCAAGAAACTAGGGAGGGTCCCTTCTGAGACATTTGTCATGCCCAACTTCCTGATGCGGGCTAAGCTGTCTCTTATCAACTGTTCCCCTGACTACAGCTTTTGCCCCTGTTTCCCAAAATCATTCCCACATACCAGTACAAAAGTTGAGAAAAGACTATCTCAGATAGATGCTACATGTATAAGCAAACCACTATTGTAGGTCAGATTTGTCCTTCCAGTGTGGTATTGTGTTTTGGCTACCCCTTCCCATACATACAGAGTCCACGTTACTTAATATCTTAATAATTTCCAACTACGGTGGATATACCCAAGAAGGCTATATGCGTCCATGATAAGCAGGGGTGGCTCTGAGATCATGCTGCAAATTCTGTGAATTTCAACCCTATATACGGCAATAGTAGAACAAGCGCAAACCATAAGAGTGAATACTTCAACTTCTGAATTGCATCTCTAACAGCGAGATTGCAAATGGTCTTTACTAAACATTTACTCTGATGTGTAATATACATAAATATTATGTTGTATCAACCATATTTTAAGAACAAAAGTTTCAGATTTTTTAAAAGCAACCTTACCAAAGCAGAACATAAAAGTTCATTTTTCCAAAGCTCACATAAAATGTTGAAACAACAGGCCTATCATTGGTATGGAGTCATCAGAAATGGTCTTATTGATATCCTTTCCTTCACTGCCCTGCCAAACCTGTGAGCAAGTTATTTATGTATCAGCATCATCAGTACAGTTTCCAATCATTTGCTACTTGTGATCAGTTAGATTTGGAGGTCCTGAAATTATCAACCTGGTCCATACAGCCATGAATAGGTAAGGAGGATGGGCAATATTTTTATGAAAAAAAGAGGAAAAGGAAAAGTGGTGCAGCAGCTTAATGATGCTGAAAGTTGCCGGCCAGAAATGGTCGACGCTTCAGCGGTTCGAGTCC